GGGGGCAGGGGGCTGGGACAAGAGCAAGGGAGAGCCAGGCTCAGGCACCGCCCCAGGGGCACCACGCAGTGTCTGCTCGGCCTCGGGAACTAAGTTAATGAGGCGCAGGCCTCGGCTGGTCCTGCTGCCTGCCCTGCTCAGGGCTCTAGAGGCCCCCACGCCCCACCTCTACCCTCCACAGCTTCATCTCAACAGAGACAAGGTGATTTAAGCAGCTCTTAAGCTTGGCTCCCTAGATTCAGTTTGTTGTCTGTACAAGCAGAAAATGGCCCATTTGTATGGAGATCAGGGCGTTTGCAGCCCCAGCAACACAGGAAAGGCGCGCCCCTGAGGAAGCTGTGTCCTCCAGGCCTCCCCAGGGTGAGGTCCTGCCCCGGCTCCCCAGCCCGAGTCTGCAGGGAGAGGCTGGCACCGGGCTCAGTCCAGCTTGGGGACTGTCACCTCCATCAGGCCAGTTTCTGAGCAGAGCGAGAGGCCAGGGAGAGTAGGGCGGTGAGAGACGAGCTGGACAGAGCAGGATGGGCACGAGAGAGGCGCCTGGGGGAGAGCGCGAGTCTGTCTGTCAGGCAAGTCCAGCGGCTCTGGGCCCGCTCGGGCCACACTGTCAAGAGTTGAGAGGCGCTTCCCAGGAGGCCCCTCGCCTAGCTGGGCAAGGACCCGCTCAGGGGTTCCTGCTCTCCGGGCTGCTCGGCGCGCCCTCTCCCTCCGCAGCTCGCTCTCTCCCCTCTGGCTGCCAGCTCGCTCTCTCCCCTCTGGCTGCCAGCTCCTCAACCTTTTATGCCCATTAAGCCTCTGAGTCCGTGGCTGGCTGGAGGTTGGCAGCAGCAGGCCTCCACGCCTTTCTGGAAGCTGGTGCTGCCCAGAAGACCCCCTTGGCCCGGCCCGGCCCGGCCTGGCCCCAGAGGCAGCGCCGGTCCTGGCTTGGTCCTGGCTTCCTGCAGGTGCTCCAGCCCCCAGAACTGGCGGCCACCATTCCCAGGCCCTGCCTCGGCCCTCAGGGAGGCAGTGGTCAGAAAGGGCCGCCAAAGGTGTAGAATTCTGCCCACTGCAGGACCCTTCAAAACACCTGCCGGGCTCTGCACACCAGGCAAAGGTGAGGATGGGGGCCGCGGCCTCCAACTTCAGCACCGTGGACAGAGGCCAAGGCCGGAGGGTCCGCGTGGAGTGGCCCTCAGCTGCCCTGACGGACCCACAAACCAGACGGCATGAGACGGGGAGCCACGGCTGTCAAGACGCCACTCCCTCCCCCGACTCTAAAGCAGACCTGATTCAGGCAGTGCCCAGAAAGTGCCCCAGTGACCATGAGCACCCCGATGTGGCAGGCAGCCAGGGATGCAGCCAGATGACCAGCAGCTGCACATCGGGACCGGGCAAAGCCAGCCATGGGCGGGGCCTGCGCCCGCACACCCACAGCGCGGAGGCAGCGGGGCCTGGCCGTGTCAGGGGGCGACCTGAGTGCCTCCAGCGGCCCTGCCACTGCCACGTCCAAGAGCGGGAGGCGAAGCGAGGCAGCCCCAGCGCTGGCACATCTCTTCCCGCCTACGGAGCCAGTGGGGCAGCAGCTTGGCAGGTCTGGCCCGGCACCCGCCCTGCACGCGTGGTCAGTGCCCTCAGCCGGCTCCAGGCGGCCTCAGGGCCGTCCAGTGTCTGCCTGCCCGGGGAACCTGGCAGAGAGGACCCCGACAACCCGGTCCTGCCGACTCCTTGCCATCCCGGCCCTCCCCAGGCTCTGCCTGCTCCCCACCACCTGGGTCCCGCCTGCACCCCGATGCCTGCACCCCGATCTCCCACAGCTCCCTGCCCACAGTGGGGCCCTACAGGCGCTCTCAGAGGCGGGTGCCCCTGGCTTACCTGGGTGTGCGGCTGTTTGGATATCCCCAGACTTGGGTCTCCCTTTCATTCCCCCCCATCTCCCCTCGCAGAGCCGGGGCCAAGGCAAAGAGCAGCAAGTGGTTCTGAAAGGGACCACTGGGGGGGACCGGCGCCCCTGGGCTGGCAGGTAAGTGGGGGGCGGGGCCCAGACGAGGGGCCGCGCTCAGTATCAGGAAAGTCCCAGGGCGCAGGCCAAGCCACGCTCCAGGGAGCCGCAGCGCCACGCCCCTGAGGCCCTCAGCGAGCCAGCGAGAACCCGCATACTCGGGCTTTGACCTTGCCGCTGTCCTCGGCGGCGCCCGGGCGCCACTGTGGAGGTAAAAGAACCGCAGTGGGACTCCCGGCGCAGCCCCGCCACGAAACCGCCTCGGGCCCCTCGACCTGGCCG